AAATCTTAAGAGGCCTAATTAATTAATTAATTAATTAATTAATTGTCCCGATTAAAATGTGAAAATGATAGAGTTTCAAGGCTTGTGGAATATTTCGAATCCAAGTTCAGCCCCATGGAGCCTGTAAGATTTGAGTCTAGCCTGATTGCCTGGTAGCCATAATTTTGGAAGAGGATTTAGGCAACAGGTCACATGACTTCTGCTACTATTCCCGATACAGCTCTAACCAGAATAACAGATGGATTAGCGTAATTCACCACAGAAAACAAGTATTCTTCGTCCAAAAGAATAGCATTTTGCATCAGTAAAGATAAAAGCTGTCTTTCCTGACCAAAATACTCAACTCATGACTAAAATGGAAAACAAGGAATATCTTAAGGCTTCTTATGGAAAGACTGCCAGTTAAGTCAGTCTTAGGACAAATGATTTATTGAATTAGCCACACGTGGATAGACTCAAATATAACAATAATCGGCAATAAGACTGTGTCCCAAGGTTAGAAAGCCTAACCTTGACTAATTTCATTTTGTTCGTGAATTTTATGTTACCCTGTCAATGACCCCGTATGACATAATTAATCCTTCTATTTTATTTCCTTAAGCACTTTTCAATATTGAACTTTCTGCAAAAGACTTTAGAAGGTTTATTAGACTGAGGATAGGTCCGGAAAGCCATTATGCATTCCCACAACTTCCAAGTTCGATATTTAAACTAGAAATTAATCTAATTTAGTTTCAACATAAAATCCCTAATAATGACTATATATACACATATTTAAGTTGGTCCGGTATTACTTATCATCTGTGATGGTATCGCCATACAAATCTAATCATCACTCGAATGATGGCTTTATTTGTATGCATTGTGAGAGAAGTCTTATTTTAACACTTTGAGAGTTTCAGACAGTCTTTTAGTTCAAGTGGTAATAAGCCATAATTTATTAATCGACATCGACAGGACCAGTTTGCATGTTCAAAGTGAAGCTTTATATACTTTTGACAATTTACGACATAAGAGCTTAAGAAAATAGCGATCACTAATATTCTTGGATAAGTCGGCTTGAATATGCATGGAAATATGCTGTTTTTTTCAAGAAATATTATAAATTATATGGTGTATTAAGACTCAGAACAGTCTCTCCAAGTTTAGATAGAGATGCTGAAAAATTACCTGAGCAACAAATATAAAGACAGTAGCTATTTTAGTAACTAATATAGTTGGAATTTCTCAACATCTCGTTGATGAAATATATGTACTGTCTAGTAAAAAACAAGTTGAAATAAAGCATAAAATTTAAGCTCTGAAGGCATAGTGACAAAGGTTTCACAAATATAAGAAAATAATGGTCACAGTAGTAAACTTGAAATATAAAAGTAGCAACTATTTAATTTGAATAAATTAAATATAAAATCTTTTTTCTGCAAATACACGCTAAATAAATTATTCATTAACAAAACATGTTATCGTAATAATAACCTCTAATCGACAGAGATTTGTGGCAATCGAGAAACACTGTGAGAGTAACTATGACATAAGCTGTTCCTAAAAGTAATTCATTCGAAGAGAGAAAAAAAATCTTAAATGAGACCGAAGCCATTCGTAAAATAAATTCGGAGGAATAATAGTAGACTAAAAAGTAAAATGCATCATAGATTTAGTATATGGAAGCGTATAGCGTCCTTTCAAATTGAAGAAAAGAGCACTGTGTTGATTTTGGTGCTTAAACACCAGAGCCAACAAGTCGTTCTATTTGACTAGCGGAACTGAGTCTGGAGTGTCTCAGTCAAAAATCGGAGATAAAATGCACTTCAGTCGCTTTCATAAAGGAAATAGATATGCCTAGATTAACACAAATAAAGGGGTAACGATACTAATTTGCATTTTTTTAGAGTTTTGTCTAAGCACTAACTAAGCAAGGACTTTGCTTTGCTGTGGAAACAGAACTTTTACGTTAAGGAACAGCAATAACGCAGGTATGTAAAACTGAACAGCGAATTTCTGCCAAAGTTTCCCATTTTACAGAAGTAAAGACGGACATAAAATATTCAGAAGACCTAGAGAGATTCTGCGGAATTAATTCTTTGTAGAAAAAGGTTTTAATTTTTGTAGAATCCAAAGCAAGAGCTATTTATGACCGTGCATTTCGGAGATATGTTCTAGGGGAAATATTGTTTCGAAATTGTAAATGAGGTTTTTAAGCAGCTGCATAACGCTTTACATATTATGAAATTTCAAATATTAGACATTACATTCAAAATGAGGCAACTTCACAATATATCGGCTGTCAAAAATGCTGATTTTTATTTGTTGCATCTATATTTTATAGCTTTTAAAATCAAACCATCCACAAACTTAAAAATTGGTTTAGTAAAGATCCCCAGTCCTGTTACATTTCCATATGTTATGGGCCATTTTGCAATTAAATTTATAGAAAGCCTATATAAAAATATAAAAATATCCAAATGTTTAATCAAAGTTTTTGCAAATGAACCGGGGCTCAAAATCAGGTTTAGATTCTAGGTTAACTTAAAATCCATATGAATTGTAGATTTTTCCTCATAAAAGCTCCAGCATGCCGAATAATTGACTTTAAATTAAATTTCTATCCAGTTCGTGTAATTTTACTAAGTTCATAAAGTATGAAGCCTTAAATTAGGTCAGAGAGATAGTAAAAAAGAGATATTTTTTGTCAATGCTATTCTGCCTCTTTCTGAAGAGCATAAAAAAGGATAAATCTAGCTTCAATGGTGTCATATTACTGCATTATGTTTGGATATATAATAGATTCTAAAGCCTATGAATCCTTCCCTCGATTAAGCTATCGCTTTATATAAGTCATAGTTGCAGTGAGATTCTAATGCCAAAACTTAACGTCTCTTTAATGAACAATTCTGAACAAAATTAATCTACCACTAAAAGAAAATGTTTGGTATATACAAGGACGAGTGTAGACTTTATCTAAATAGATTTGAGAACGTTAAGATCATAGTAAAAGAGA